GGGGGGGGGGGTGAGCAGGTATCACGGATAATCACAAAGGGGAAGGGGGGGTCTTGGAGGATATCACATGTATTTTTTTGTTCAAATACCCAAGAAATTATTCGGTAAATACATTTGATGAGTTGACTGATAAACAAAACGAAGATATGATTCAGCTGGACAATAACCGATTGTTGAACCCTGACAGTAGAATGTTTGTTAGTGTTGAACAATGTTTTAACAATCCTTGGATTGATGACGACTCATGAATTCAGAGTCTCTTCTGTACAAAACGTGTTAAGATAGAGAAGACTTTTCCCAAAGAGACACGATAGAAAAGGCTATTTCGATCGATGTATCGATATCAAATATCGAAACATTATACTATTGAAATTAATATACTTAACAGATGAAACTATGACTCAAATACTTTAACGATTTGTTTCTGGAATAAAATTATTTTTCGTTTATTAGACGTGTATAAAAGAGTTGTCTTTTTAACAAAAAAAAAAACAATTTTTTTCTCAAAAGCGATCATTTTTCAAACTGAGCTTTGAAAAAAAACACACGTGATAACATGCCGTGAGGAGGGGGGGGGGTCGACGAAATGTCACGATTGATCACCAGAGGGGGGGAGGAGGTCAGAAATGAGCCAAAATTCGATCACGTGATTTATGGACGCCCCCTCATGAGAATAATTTTGATTTTTGAGTAAACCAACGAATTTCTGGCGTTGGCGAACTTTTGGCTAGAAAGAAATCAAATACTCTCATTATTGCGACGAATAAACGGAACGTCAATTCTAGAGAGGTTTGTTTAGTTTGTTCAAATAAAACTCTCTTGATAAAACCAATTTTTTTCTGTCAGAGCAATAGAGACAATCAGCCTTAGCAGACTTGTGAGCGAGATCTTTAGGGCAATTAGGGGGGAGGGAAGAAGGACATTAGTGATTATTCAGCAATAATGTATACAAAATTTGCCGTTTGGAATCTACTGTGTCCGTGAAGCGCTTCTTTACGGCCGAAATGACAAAAATTTGATTATATTTACCCATCTCCAAATTCCATTCGACACTGCTCGTCCATGGTGAATGTCTCTTGGTGGATTAATTTTAAGAGAGTCACATTGCTCTTATTTGGAGGATTATTCAAACATTTCCATTGTCTAAAAATGTAAGTAGAAGTTTAAAAAATTCGGTGTTGAAGTGATGAAAGGATCTGCATTAAAAGTGATTATTTCAGACTATTTCCCAGATATTTATGGCTCTACTCAGTTTAAAGAACAATATGAGTAAAAATTTGGGTCTGAACTCAGTCTCAGAATATCAAAGATATTCACAAAGATAAATTAAAGTAAAGTAACTCTACCCTTATGGTAAATTCAAAGATTATTGGAAACTGTAAAAAAATTGCAGAAAACTCGATTAGATTCGGGATTCTAATTTTTTTCTCAATTTAATTTTCGTTTTGGTTGTTCAAAGAAGAAATATTAAAAAATCAGGATTTAACTCAGTCTTATGTGAAAATCAATATTTCCATTGTAATCAAAGATTAAAATCTGATTTTTTTTTCATTAGATGTGAAAAAATCAAAAATTTTTTTGACACCTCATAAAAACTAATCCACCGTTTTGCAAACAAGTTTTATTCTTTATTTATAAGAGGGAAATGTTTGAAAAAATATCAATATTTTGCGAAATTTAATTTAGATAGTACTGACTGGATATGAATTTTTTCAAATTTTTTCCATGCAATTTATTAGTTGAAAAATTAAAAAACTGAAAATATCCGAAAGTACAGCGTAGCCCGGCCGAAGGGTAGAGCTACTTTAAGTTCATAAATACGTAATCATTCACTTAGCCCTTCGATTAAACTCCTTCCGGGAACACGACGACCAGTGGAACCGATGGAAAGTAGCGGCGACCATGGGTGCCATGATACTCCCAGTCGCCTCATTCCCACAGAAATTATCCGCGGATTCATCCCCATCATGTGTCAAGCCTAAACTAATAAAACAAGACCAGGAAAAACATTGTATAAAACCGAGTTTGAGAAACAGATCGTCAATCGTCAATATCTCGATATTGGCACTATGAATTTCAATAAAATAGATTATGTCATTAGGCGATCATAGTATATTGCATCATTAGGCTGAAAAAAAAATTTCTGTGCTGCTTCTCACGATTTCCCGAATTGGTATTACATACTTCCCAAACTCGAAAACTTGAAAATCACTACAGAAAAATATTGTTCCTGGGCTGTTGCGATGGGGTTTTTTTACTCGTGTGGTTGGCCAGTCCTCGCCTACAGCTCGGAGGCCAACGCCCCACGAGTAAAAAACCGATGCGATGGGTTTTTTTTACTCGTGTGGTTCGCCAGTCCTCGCCTACGGCTCGGAGGCCAACGCCCCACGAGTAAAAAACCCCATCGCAACAGGCCGGAAAAATACTATTTCTGGTGAATATGAGCTAGAAGCGTTTTTTTTCGGCTGTGTGACGAATGATGTTTTTGTCATAACGGTCGAAGCCTTACGGCCGGAATGACAAACTAGTATATTTCGTCATTAGGCCGAAAATAGTATATTTCGTCATTAGGCAAAAAAAAACTTTTCTGGCGAATATAAGGTTTGCAGTACGAGCCAAAGGCGAGAGCTCCGTGAAGTGGGCACCCCACTTGGTTGGATTTGAACCAAAATTTCATAATTGATAGATTTTGAGCTATTCGTGATAGTAGTAACGTTTTTCTTGTTTGTAGTTTGAAATTGAGCGTCCAATTCGTTTTTGAAATACAGTTAGGAACTATTCCATAGTTAAAGCTGGAGTGACAATGGATTCTCGTCTGCAATCGTTTGTAGTTGATTGTAGTTGTGGAAATTTCACGATCGGAATCATAATAAACGTTCAATCGATTTTTTTTAACAGTTAGGAACTATTTCATAGTTGTATTTGAAATGACGTGGGATTCTTATCTGCAATCGTTTGTAGTTGATTGTAGTTTTGGAATTTTTGCAATCGGAAATCAAATGAGCGTCCAATCGATTTTTGGAGACCAAGTAGGAACTGATTGAAAGCTATAGCCAGAATGAGCTCCGATTCCTGTCTAAAATCGTTGTAGTTGTTTGTAGTGCTCACAAATTCCCAATGCACCGAGAAAACGGGGTGGCAGACAGTTGATATATGTAGAAGGATTTGTTTGTATTTTTTTCTAACAGTGAAAATAATGAAGAACCTTATAAACCAACGTTCATACTTGATTGTAGTTTTGGAATTTTCCCAATCCGAACTCAAATGAGCATCTGATCGATTTTAGGAGCGCAAGTAGGAAATTGTTAACAGCTATAGCCAAAATGAGCTCGGATTCCTGTCTAAAATGGGTTGTAGTTGTTTGTAGTACTCCCAGATTTTCAATGCACCGAGAAAAAAGGGTGGTGAAAAAAATGAAAAAGGAAAGAAGATCTTTATGAACCAACGTTCATACTCAATTGTAGTTTTGGAATTTTTCCAATCCAAACTCAAACGAGCATCCAATCGATTTTTGGAGCCCAAGTAGGAACTTGCTGACAGCTATAGCCAAAATGAGCTCGGATTCCTGTCTAAAATGGTTTGTAGTCGTTTGTAGTACTGACAGATTTTCAATGCACCGAGAAGAAAGGGTGGTGTAGAGTTGAGATATGTAGAAGAATTCGTTTGTAGGTATTTCTAACAGTGAAAAAAATCAATAAGAAAAGAAGATCTTTATGAAGCAACGTTCATACTTAATTGTAGTTTTCGAATTTTTCCAATTCAAACTCAAACGAGCATCCAATCGATTTTTGGAGCCCAAGTAGGAAATTGTTGACAGATATAGCCAAAATGAGCTCGGATTCCTGTCTAAAATGGTTTGTAGTTGTTTGTAGTACACACAGATTTTCAATACACCGAGAACAAAGGGTGGTAGACAATTGAGATATGTAGAAGGATTGGTTTGTAGTTGTTTCTAACAGTGAAAAAAATCGAAAAAAATTAAGAAACTTATAAACCAAGGTCCATACTTGATTGTAGTTTTGGAATTTTTCCAACCCGAACCGAAATGAGCGTTCAATCCGTTTTTGAAATACAGTTAGGAACTATTTCATAGTTACAGCTGGAGTGACATTTGCTTCTCATCTGCAATCGTTTGTAGTTGATTGTAGTTCTGGAAATTTCACGATCGGTATCGTAATAAACGTTCAATCGATTTTTTTTAATCAGTTAGGAACTATTTCATAGTTGCATTTGAAATGACGTGGGATTCTTATCCGCAGTCGTTTGTAGTTGATTGTAGTTGTGGAATTTTCGCAATCGGGAATCAAACGAGCATGCAATCGATTCTTGGAGCCCAAGTAGGAACTGATTGAAAGCTATAGTCAGAATGAGCTCTGATTCCTGTCTAAAATCGTTTGTAGTTGTTTGTAGTGCTCACAAATTTCCAATGCACCGAGAAAACGGGGTGGCAGACAGTTGAGATATGTAAAAGAATTCGTTTGTAGTTGTTGTTGGAAGTGAAAAAAATTAAAAAGAAAAGAAGATCCATATGAACCAACGTCCATACGTGATTGTAGTTTTGGAATTTTTCCAATCCATACTCAAATGAGCATCCAATCGATTGTCGGAGTACAAGTGGGAACTGTTGAATAACTATAGCCAAAATGGCTTCGGATTCCTGTCTAAAATGGTTTGTAGTTGATTGTAGTGCTCACAGATTTTCAATACACCGAGAAAAAAGGGTGGTAGAGAATTGAGATATGTAGAAGGATTTGTTTGTAGTGGTTTCTAACAGTGAAAAAAATCGAAAAAAATGAAGAACCTTATAAACCAACGTTCAAACTTGATTGTAGTTTAGAAATTTGTCCAATCCGAACTGAAATGAGCGTTCAATCCATATTTGAAATAACGTTAGGAACTTCTCCATTGTTAAAGCTGGAGTGACATTGGATTCTCATCTGCAATCGTTTCTAGTTGATTGTAGTTCTGGAAATTTCACGATCGGAAATGTAATAAACGTTCAATCGATTGTTTTTAAACAGGAACTATTTCTTAGTTGTATTTGAAATGACGTGGGATTCTCATCTGCAATCGTTTGTAGTTGATTGTAGTTTTGGAATTTTCGCAATCGGAAATCGAATGAGCGTTCAATCGATTTTCTGAGCACAAGTAGGAACTGATTGATAGCTATAGCCAAAATGACATCGGTTTCCTGTCTAAAATGGTTTGTAGTTGATTGTAGTACTTATAGATTATCAATGCACCGAGAAATAAGGGTGGTTGAGAATAAGGGTGTTGTGACATGTAGAAGATTCCGTTTGTAGTTGTTCTGGAAAGTGAAAAGAATTAGAAAGGTAAGAAGATCCTTATGAACCAACGTTCATACTTGATTGTAGTTTTGGAATGTTTCCAATCCGAACTGAAATGAGCGTCCAATCGATTTTCGGAGCACAAGTTGGAACTGATTGATAGCTGTGAAATAGTTAGGAACTATTCTACAGCTATGGCTAAAAAAAAAAGTGGATTCCTGCCTGAAATCGTTTGTAGTCGATTGTAGGATTGGAATTTTTCTAATAAAAATGAAACTGATCGTTTAATCCATTTTTTAAGCACAGAGAGGGTAAAAATCACCGCAAAAAAAATGACGTTTGAAACTTAGCAGAAATCGTTTGTAGTTGATTTTAGAATCGATTTTTTTGTCGATTGGAATTGGACTGACCGTTCAATTGAATTTTTGAATTGAATTGAATCCGAGCTCATTTTGGCTATAGCTTTCAATCAGTTTCTACTTGGGCTCCAAAAGTCGATTGCATGCTCGTTTGATTTCCGATTGCGAAAATTCCAAAACCACAATCCACTACAAATGATTGCAGATAAGAATCCCACGTCATTTCAAATATAACTATGAAATAGTTCCTAACTGATTAAAAAAATCGATTGAACGTTTATTACGATTCCGATCGTGAAATTTCCAGAACTACAATCAACTACAAACGACTGCAGAAGTGAAGCCAATGTCACTCCAGCTATAACTATGAAACAGTTCCTAACTGTATTTCAAAAAAGGATTGAACACTCATTTCAGTTTGGATTGGAAAAATTTCAAAACTACAATCAAGTATAAACGTTGGTTTATAAGGTTCTTAATTTTTTTCGATTTTTTTCACTGTTAGAAACAACTACAAACCAATCCTACTACATATCTCAATTGTCTACCACCCTTTTTTCTCGGTGTATTAAAAATCTATGAGTACTACAAACAACAACAAACCATTTTAGAAAGGAATCCGAGCTCATTTTGGCTATATCTGTCAACAAGTTCCTACTTGGGCTCCAAAAATCGATTGGATGCTCGTTTGAGTTTGGATTGGAAAAATTCCAAAACTACAATTAAGTATGAACGTTGGTTCATAAAGATCTTCTTTTCTTATTGATTTTTTTCACTGTTAGAAACACCTACAAACGAAGTCTTCTACATATCTCAACACTACACCACCCTTTCTTCTCGGTGCATTGCAAATCTGTGAGTACTACAAACGACTACAAACGATTTTAGACAGGAATCCGTACTCATTTTGGCTATATCTGTCGACAAGTTCCTACTTGGGCTGCAAAAATCGATTTGATGCTCGTTTGAGTTTGGATTGGAAAAATTCAAAAACTACAATTAAGTATGAACTTTGGTTCATAAAGATCTTTTTTTATTGATTTTTTTCACTGTTAGAAACACCTACAAACGAATTCTTCTACATATCTCAACTCTACACCACCCTTTCTTCTCGGTGCATTGAAAATCTGGCAGTAGTACAAACAACTACAAACCATTTTAGACAGGAATCCGAGCTCATTCTGGCTATAGCTTTCAATCAGTTCCTACTTGGTCTCCAAAAATCGATTGGACGCTCATTTGATTTCCGATTACGAAAATTCCAAAACTACAATCAAATACAAACGATTGCAGATAAGAATCCCACGTAATTTCAAATACAACTATGAGATAGTTC